TGTGTATACTCCAGATATGACTGGAAGCAGCATCACCAGCAGTAACCTCCCTAAGTGGGAAATTACATTGAGAAGTAGAGGTTATCCAAACTAACCAGAGGATGCCAGAGAACAGATGAAGTTTGCCTGTGTGTATTTCCCATTCTGTATTTGCTGACAGAAACAATAACTAACACCAGAAGCCTGAACATTGTCCCCTTCCACAGCTCTCTCTACAAAACTATTTTTCTCATCTGACAGATTGACCCTTACTATCTTAAGGAGCAGCACTGTTTGTAAGAGTCAGGAATGGGTGAGCGTACTGTGACAGCCATGCTTATGCCACCTGGTGGCAATAGTCCAAAGTAACCTATTTTTTGTTTGTAAGACACCTGTTACAGCTCTAACAGGCCTTTCAAGGGAGTGTTTCCCACTTGCCAGGCAGCAATTTTAAGGCAGTTTTGGGAGTAATGGTCTCAGCTGAAGAATTTTGGTCTGTGTTTCAATTAGACCTTTCAAATAGAGTTTCAATTTTGATTTTGTCAGACCCTATTGCAACTTTCCTCACTGAGATGCTTGGGGGTGACCGCTTTTTAAGAAGCAAAATAAACAGCTACCTGCCAAAACTACATCCATCACCACATTGGTAGACACCTAGGTGTCTACCAAGGGGCTGCCTTTTTATTTTTTTTAACCAATTAGAAAAGCACTACTGGATCTACCCATCTGGCTGCCGGTATCACACTATCACAAGGTAGAAAACATCCCTGGTGAATGACTCGATTACATCCAGGTGGAGAAAGGCACTCACTGCAGCACAAGACACCCCCCCAGTACATACAGGTGAATAGTGACCCTTACGCAGTGGGGCTGCAGCTATACAGGTCGCTGCTCCAGGCTTTGGCGACGGGCGGGGAGACTCCGCACAATCTCCCACATTTCAGGAGCCCAGCTAGAAACACCCCCCTAGGGCCGGAGCAATAACCAGTGATGGGCCTTTGCTGTCCACTCGTCCCGGGCCTCGGCTGGCCCAGCCCCTCACGTCTGAGTCTGCCACAGCCCCTTGTGGGGGAGGCCGGGGGGTGGGCACGCGCTTCCCCCCTCCCCCCAAGGGGCACGGCCCCCGGCTGGGCGGAGACGGGCTGTGGCCTCTTCTCCCCTCCTGGGCAGAGCCCAGCGGGAGCCGGGGGTGCCCCTCGCCCCCCAACGGACGGGGCCGCCGCGTGCCCTCCCCCTCACCTGCGGGAGCGGCGCCCCAGCTGCGGAGGCCGTCGAAGGGATGCGCAGCCCCGCCCCGGATGAGCCACAGGCCCCGCCTCTTGCCCCTCGCGCTACGTGCCGCGTCACGCGCTCCTCCGACCGGCCGAGCGAGGGCCCGGGCGAAGGGCAGGACCGGAGGAGGGGGCGTGGCCTGTCCCCTGATGGGCGGGGCTGGTGGCGGGCAGAGGATCCCGGCCCTACGGCTCACGCCCCATCGCTCACTTGCCTTTTTACACGTGTGCGCGGGACGGTTGGGAAGGGGGGTGCTGCAGAGCGCGGTGAGGGGAGGTGTCGCCCCCAGACCCCAAGAAGGGGAAAAAAGCAACAGAAAACCCGGGCACAGCGAGGGAGCGAGCCCTAAAACGGTGCTGCAGAGACAGAGCTATGGTACCACCCCCGCCGGGCCGTCACCTGCAGAATACATCGTAAAAAGCAGCACCTACACTTCACTTTGCCTTGCCTGCCAGGGTGTTGACCAGTAGCTATTTACAGCTGTTACCCACTCTCTTTTCCATATTTGCTAGGAGTTAGTGCCTGAATAAAGCATTTAACACGCACACAGTGTCTACTTACATTGTCTTAGCCATGATTACATGTGCATGATAAACTGGACTTGAAAATATGATTTCATATAGTCCTTTTCAAAGTCACCCTATTTGAAGAGGCATCTGAAAGTAACATGAAGTAATGGCAGCACAACAAATGGAAGACCCTTATTTACAGCCTTTGAACATTTTAATTTGACACTGATTGATGATGCGCATTGGGCTAAAGGCTGCAACTACCCCTTCTTTTTAAAGAATGTAATCTGAAGTCCAGACAAATCATAGGTGAGTTTCTCTTCAGTAGTTTTCTGCCAATGTGCCTTAAAAAGTAGGGTTGAGAGAAGGTAGACTGAGTTGGCATTGCTAATAGCCTGCCATAAATCCATGGTACCCTCCTATCTTGATATAAATCCATGGTATGCCCACATCTCGAATACTGCATGCAGATGTGGTCACCCCATCTCAAAAAAGATATATTAGAATTGGAAAAGGTTCAGAAAAAGGCCACAAAAATGGAGTGGCTGCCCTAGGAGGAGATTAATAAAACAGGGACTTTTCATCTTGGAAAAGAGATGACTAAAAGAGGAGATGATAGAGGTCTATACAATCATGCCTGATGTAGAGAAAGTATTATTTACTCCTCATAATACAAGAACTAGGGGGTCACCAAATGAAATTAATATGCAGCTGGTTTAAAACAAATGAAAGGAAGTATTTTTTCCACACAACACAGAGTCAACCTGTGGAACTCCTTGCCAGAGGATGTTGAAGGCCAAGACGATAACAGGGTTCAAAAAAGAACTAGATAAGTTCATGGAGGATAGGTCCATCAATGGCTATTAGCCAGGATGAGCAGGGATGGTGTCGCTGGCCTCTGTTTGCCAGAAGCTGGGAATGGGCGACAGGGGATGGATAACTTGATGATTACTGTTCATTCCCTCTGGGGCACCTGGCATTGGCCACTGTCAGAAGACTAGATACTAGGCTAGATGGACCTTTGGTCTGACCCAGTATGGCTGTTCTTATGCTCATTAGCACCAACGGTGGTGATGCATTTTGTGCTGTGACCACCTGTCCACTTGGAACCTGCATAGGCTGAAACCACCAACTCAAACAGGACACCAAAAAGGCAGCAGAAGGGAACAAGGGCCATCCAGTCTCCACCCCAATATTGAACAGTCCCATCTCCAGTAAGAGAAGGTGAAAGACCTTTACATATGACAGTTATACACAGGCATGTAAATGATCACTTGCAATAAGTACAATATTTACAAGTCAAATGGGGACATCATCTTTTGTGTAAGAGCCTTTTCAAATAGCCATCAGGTAGAGTCATGAATATTCTACATCACTCACTGCATGGTTAATGACAGCTCTTTCATTCATACTTCAGGCCACAAAATATTTAGATTGGACAAATACAAAATGAGGAAGAACCGGCTAGGCAGTGTACTGCTGGAAAGGATCTGGTGGTTACAGTGAATCACAAATTGAATATGAGTCAGCAATGTGATGCAGTTGTGAAAAAGGCACATATTTTGGGATGCCTGAACAGGAGTGTCATACATAAGACACAGGAGGTAATTGTTCAGCTCTACTTGGCCCTGGTAAGGCCTCAGCTCAAGTACTGTGGCCAATTTTGGGCACTACACTTTAAGGAAGATGTGGACAAATTGGAGAGAGTCCAGAGTATAGCAACAAAATGATGAAAGGTTTAAAAAAACCCTGACCTATGAGGAAAGGTTTAAAAAAAAAAAAACAACCTGAGCATGTTTAGTCTTAAGAAAAGAGGACTGAGGTGGGACCTGCTAACAGTCTTCAAATATATTAAGAGCTGTTATAAGGAGGCAGGTGATCAATTGTTTTCCGTGTCCACTGAAAGCATGACAAGTAGTAATCAGCTTAATCTGCAGCAAGGGAGATTGAGGTTAGATATTAGGAAAAGCTTTCTAATTACAAGGATAGTTAAGCACTGGAATAGGTTTCCAAGGGAGGTTGTGGAATCCCGGTCACTGGAGGGTATTTTTAAAGAACAGGCTATACTCAACCACCTGTCAGGCCTGGTGTAAGATATACTTGGGCTTGCCTCAGCACAAGGTAATGGACAAGAACTAGATGACCTCTCAAGGTCCCTTCCAAAGTTCCAGCCCTACATTTCTATGAATAAGCTATTAAAAGGAGAAAGGAATTGAAGAAAAACATACAAGTCAAACATCTGATAATATAGAATAGTATTCATTATCTGTCTGATGGACACCATGTAATGAAGAAGCTTTTAGGAACAATAACAATGTTTATGCCACAAGTACTCCTGTTCTTTTTGCGGATACAGACTAACACGGCTGCTACTCTGAAACCAATGTTTATAGTTGTATATTTTTAGCTGTTAATGCTTATGTTTATATAGCTTTTCATTCTAAAAGATCCTAAACCATTTCATGTATTTAAACGGACAATAAACATATGTAATGGATCGTTGCTCTAAAGTACATGAATTTGGGTGTAATGCAGCAATTATAATTAATACCAGAACATTGCAAAAAAGGGGGGGGGGGAGGGAAGTCTGTTGTTGCTCATGAAAGAAAAGAAAAGAAGGTTGCAACTAATATCAGAGGAATTTTGTTCCAGAAAAGACTAACAGTTTGATAGCAATCTGAAAATAATAAAGACCATTTTCAAGACAAAACTGCTTTTATCATCTACTTTCCTAACAGATTGTTGAGACTCAGAAATTAAAAAGCAGAACTTCTCTATTCTGTCACTAGGGGATGCTCTGTGTTTTCTTTGGCTCTACTGTACTAAGCTATCAGGAACAGAAGAATTTTACTTGCACATTTAGCATAGCAAATTAACTCAACAATTGTGAAAAACATGCCTCACTCCTTGTTTGCATCTCGAAAAATGTCTTTCAATATAGATTTTTAAAAAGTAAGACTAGATCCCATTTTAACCAATTCAAACTGAATTACTTGCACTACAATAAAAGGAAAGGAAACTCCCTAAGCTGCCAATAAAAATAAAAAAATAATTCATCTGTCCCTCTCATCCACAATACAGGGACAGAGTTAGGCTAAACGGAGAAAAATTCTGATGAGAGCCCACAATATTTGAGGGAAGAGTGAAGACATCTGCAAACTTTAAAACTTCAGTCAATTAATCAGTGCACAGACAAAATTCCTTTGCATAATCATTCTTAAAATACTTTGCCAGACAAGATTTGATGACAAATCATCTCTCTTTATTTTTAGCAGTATAATTTACATTTCAATACTTTATGAACAAAAAGTTCAAAATGTTCAAGAGCCGACGTGTTTTTGGATCCCCCCCTTCCCCAAGACGAACTGCTAATGTTAAAGGGACAGGAAAACCAACCTAAGTGTTCCCCAGCCTTCTATTGACAACCCAGGGTGTAAATGCATGTGAAATGCAGGGAAAACATTTTCTAGCAAAGAAATAGTGGGTTACTTTAAATAAAAGAAAAATATATTTTTAAAATGATGACTAATGCCTTGACAGAGTCCTTTAAATATTCTGGTGAGACATTTATAATTTTTAATAAGCAGCTGTAACTGTAGTACAAAGATCCTCCCACTCAGCTGTCACACAACCACCAAGACGACTTCCTCCGGGTGGGGGGGGGGGGGTGGGGGGGAAAGTATAAATGACATTTCAGAGGTTCTTGAATTATCATCAGTGGAGAATAATGGTTTTATAGAAGACAGGTTTTATACTGTTTATTAGAGGAATCTTGGTAAAGAAAATACTTATTTAACCTACTTTATAAATTATCTACTAGTGTCTTATTAGCTTAGCATCCCTGCGCTAAATCAACAAACAAGCTAGATCATGCAGGAAATACACACAGAAAAACAGGATTTACATATGCGGAAACAAAATTCCAATATATTAGGCCCCAATCTTGCAAATCTCCATGTGCTTAACTTTAAGAACACGAGTACTCCTACTGGTCACACATTAAAGTTAAACACATACATAAATGTCTCATTTCAGGGCCTCAGTTTGTATCTCTCATTATTACAGCTATTCACCCAAATGGTACAGTAACGTCATGCAGAAGCAAGGTGATCTTCAAGTTAAAAGCTGCATTAATAACTCAAAACAAAAAAAATCACATTTAAAGCATTTATTTTGAAAAATAAAATACAAAAGATCACTGCATTGTAAATGTACAAGTAATTTATCAACATCTCAGAAGTGATTTTTTAAATAATTAAAAGAAAGATATTTGACAATTTCCACGTCAATAAAATTGAAACAGGCACAACTGTTCTACCAAAAAAACCCACAAATTAGGACAAGCACAGGCCACTTTTACAAAATTTCATACATTTAAATTCCAAATGTTTCACAAACCATTTTTACAAACCCTTTAAAATTAAGCTCTGGAATTAAACAGAGATATAGACAGAATAGCAATTTCAACATAGGCCAGATTTTGCTTTAATTTCATTTTCAAACTGTAGAAACAGTTGTATAAATGTAACACAGTACATCATCATCATCAGTGAAAGTGTTCACCATATCAGAAGTGCTTTTATTGTTACAGGTTTAAGTGTGCTCACAAAAAACCAAAAACAAACCACCAAACAAAAAGCCCCAAACAAAACAAAAAACACAGTCTGAAGGCAAATGGGAGAAGATTCGAAAAAAGCAGACCATGAGCGGTACACCTCACTGATCTTGGTAGGACAGTCCTTATAATGTCATGTCAAAGAGAAAATAATAATTAAACAAGTTAGAATTTGTGCACTCATTTTATTTGTTAAAATTCATTTTGCAGCCCCATACATTTTCATAAATACAAAGAATAATTCACAGTTGGAATGGCAACAATTTCAACAGGTCCAAAATTACCATCCAAGCTAGGCCCAGCCACTCATAAACCTTTCGTTCAACCCCATATGGATATTTTTAAAGCATGGAACATTGTTGGAAGTAAGTCATTTGTAAGGCAAAGACAGTGAAAAGCTTTTTATCTCTGTATACTTTCAATAAACCCTTTAGCTACATAGTGCAAATTATTTTTTTATTAACAACTTTCTCTTCATCACAAATTGACAGTGAAATTGCTTCTGAGGATGCTTTCAAGGAGATTTTGCTGCTTTGGAACGTAAAAAACGGCACTAAATCAAACTTCAATGCCAATTATTTATTAAAGTAAAATTATCTGAGACATAAAAGTTTTAAATGTTTTTCTTATGTAATACTAAATGAATGCTTTCCACATAGATTTCTAAATTAAGAATAATTTCCAAACAGAATTTTTCTTTATAATGCAACATAATCCTTTTGTGTACATGTGCTATTTGTTTATTTATAAACACTATGTTGCCTTGGTTTAATTTAAGATGGATGTTGCATTTTGCTGGGCACCCAGAATATTTTAAGCAAGGAGTGCTCTAAAAATAAAATCATTGATTATAGAATTAGCAGTGATGCCTTCACTATTCACCAGTGTCCCAGTACAAAGTGCACTAAAATATGTATTCCCTATCCTGGCCATTTTTCATGGAAGAAATACAGTTTTCCTGTGGTTGTTTCAGGATATATGGGACACTATAGGCAAAAAACTATGGTTAGCTTTTTTTTTTTGGTCATTTCTTATCCCGCTCTTTAACCAAAGAACTGTCTTTAACAATATAAAAAGTTTATTTTAAAAATCTTTGTCTTGTTAAAAATGCATTTCAATTTGATGTACAAATGTCACCTGTATATTAATTTTAACACAAATTAAAAATATGAAGATCTACTAAAAAGTGCCAAATAGTTTGTTCATTTTATATTTTCCTTTGCACTTCCAGCCGTACCACAGTGCAGAGAAATCTGAGAATAGTTTAAATTCAGAGGTGATATCATGTATGGTTGTCTAGCAATTCTGAAATGATGTAATTTACACTTTTTCAGCTCCTCAGCATATTGAATTATACCAAATTGACTCATATATATTACTTTTGAATCTGGACTAAATACCTTCATCTATTTCCCACCCTAAGTCCCAAATATATTAATGCAGAATGCAATTTTCCACTCTGAAGCTTCCATTAATGATCTGAGATTTAAAAAAAAAAAATCACAATTAACCAGCTTAACTGAAACAATTGGACCAGATAAATAACCTTGTGATACTCCATTTTATTACCTTATGTGCAAGGTAAATCCATCAGATATTCTACTCCACTGGTTCGGTCTGTTAAAGCAAATATATACATATATTAATATAAACTGCTACCACCCATTAAAACAAAATTAGTTATTTTCCATTACAAAATAAAAATATCACTAATAGTGCCATTTAGTTGTTTGGTTCTTTTTATTATACTTAAGACTCAATCAACAGTAGTAAGACTAATTTAATAGAAACAATTTCAACTCCAGCTTCAGATTTTCCAAAAGGGAAGCAATCATATATAATTCTTTTAGCATATACTGCCCATGAAGCATACTAACTCTACTGCTATATCACAAAGATTTTTTTTATGCAGTGTTGTTGTAGCTGTGTTGGTCTCTGTATATGAGAGACACAAGGTGGGTGAGGTAGTATCTTTTATTGAATCAATTTTTGTTGGTGAAAGAGACAAGCTTTTGAGCTGTACAGAGCTCTTTTTCAGATCTGGGAAACGTACTCAGAGTGTCACAGCTAAACACAAGGTGGAACAGATTGTTAAACATAAGGAGATCACACATTGCAAGAAACTATTCAAACTGAAGTGGCAATTACACCTCTGCAGTCATAGGACAAAGGAGAGTTACTGGGCTGCAGACTGTTGTAATGAGACAAAACCAGTGTCTCTATTGAGACCATGATTTTTGGTGTCTAGCTGAGTTATGAATTTAAGCTCCCAGGCCTGTCTTTTGAAGGTATTATGCAGGTTTCCTTTAAGGATGAGGACTGAGAAGTCAGATTTGGAGTGATCATTTTGTGAAAAGTGTTAACCCACAGATGATAGGGTATTTTTGTCTTTTATCATTTTTTCTGAGTGTTGTTGTTGAATGTAAAGTTAAGGATGAAGATGAAAAGGATGAGTTTAGCAAAGTGTTTAAGGTAGATATCTCAATGTTGTCCATTGTCTTATAGATATGTGAAGCAGCCATGGTGAGGGATATTGGTGTATAGGGAAGCGACATTCATAGTGGTAAGTACAGTGTTCTGAGGGAGGTTGGTGGTGGTGTGGAGTTTCTGGAGGAAGTCAGTCCTTTGAGTAAAGAGTGGTCTCAGCATAGTTTATGAGAGTCCTGATATTCCTTCAGTAAGAGTACCATGGCCAGATATGATGAGTGTGCCTGGGTTCCCTTGTTTGTGTATCTTGGGAAGCATGTAGAAGGTCCCTGGTGTAGGTTTGTGGGAGATGAAGTGGTAGAGTTTGTCTTGGAATTGTCTGGGTAAGGATTTGATGATATCCTTAAATTCCTGTGTGAACTGTGATATGGGGTCTTTGAATTCTTTATGGTAGGTGGTGTAGGAGAGTTATCAATTGGCCTAACTGATGTAGTCATCACAATTGCGAACTACAGTGACATCCCCTTTGTCTGCTGGTTTGATCACTATTTAGTGGTTGGCTTTTAGGGACTGTACAGCTATCCTCTCCACAGTGGAGAGATTGTGGTGGACAAGATGTTTGTTAAGGCTGTCATAGCTGATTTTTTTCCTGAAGTAATCAATGTAATGGTGCAGTATGTGGTAGAGACCCTTGTTTTTTTTTTTTTTTGGCCTTCTTCTGCAGCATGGGGAATGGGTCACTGGCTGGTTTGAACTAGAGAAAATGGTAGATTCTCCAAACTTGAAATCTTTAAATCAAGATTTGAGGACTTCAGTAACTCAGACAGAGGTTATGGGCCTGTTGCAGGAATAGGTGACTCAGATTCTGGGGCCTGCGATGTGCAGGAGGTCAGATTAGATGATCATGATGGTCCCTTCTGGCCTTAAAGTCTATGAATCTAAGAGATTACCTCATCCACTTTGTCTCTCTAAAGATTTTTTTTTATGACTTCAGTTTACATGTCTCTCTCTTTTTGGAGAAACCTAAAAGTATTACTTTTTTTTAATTAAGCAGATTTAAATTAACTGTATCAGTTCTACTACTAAGAATTAGAAGAGTTCCATTTTAACCATCTCACTTGGAACACAACAGACATTTGCTGCAAGCTAAGGACCAAATTCTGCTGACTTAACACCAGGTCAATTTTTTTAAAAATAGGAATTATTTATATTTTAAATAACTAATATTGTAGGCTTCAGGAAACATGACAATTTGGGGTTTATAAAGCAACATGCCTATTTATTGTGCTCTATGAAGTATTTTAAAAATAGCTTATTCAGAAATTCAACACCACACAGGTATGTACTACTAACTTTTTCTTTCTTTAGACTCAATTGTGCACATGTACTACATATACTGCAACTACACATGTAATATTGTAGCTTAACAAGCCTTTGTCATCAGTTAATTCTATGAAATAACCACTGCATACTTCAAATCAGTTTGCTGAACTACTACTGCAAAAAATCAGACATTTAAATAATTTTTCACCTTTAAGCTGCATAGACATTTTGGCCAGCAGTTGAGAACTGAGCAATACTGTGAATACTGTGAGCAACAGCACATTTAGCTGAATGGTGTCAGGTTCTTAATGGCTTTATATTAGCTAAGCACAGCTTGCAAAGCATGAACACTAACTGTTCAAAATGTAAGAACAGGCAAACACCCAGTAATAGAGCAAAGCCCAGGTTAGAAATTGCACATAAAGAAAGTTTATCAGAAAGATTCAAGGTGCCCACAGCTAAGAGTTTTATGCTCTGAAAACATGAAACAGACACCACAGCTACTCTACTTTACTGGTCCATGTTCATTTTATCTTGCCACGGGACTTCCTTTCTACTGTCTTCTTTGGCTGGAACAAAAGAAACCAATTTTGGTTTTTAAATAAAAAAATATTTTTAATTTGAACTGATGGGGCAAGTCAAAAGGTTTAATTTCACATGTGATAAATTCTGTGTATTTTCCTGAATCTCTAGTTTTATCATATCAAGGATAATTAAAAGTTATCCTTAAGAAAAATAGTTTGTTCCTATATTTTTGGATATTGAATTACAAAATGTGCCTATCCTTTTATCCTGAGAGTATGACACTGAAAACACAAGCAAAGTTTCTGAAAAACTGGTTACAAACATCACACTAACCTTCCCAATGACCACAAGAGGTAAGCAAGTACAGTAAAAGCTTTTTTATCTGGCATGTTGGGCCAATGGGGGGTTCCAGTAAGTGAAAAATTCTAGTTAACTAAGAGGGAGGGAGTTTGGGTGCAGGAGGGGGTTCAGAGCTGGGATTGGGCCACGGAAAAGGGTACGGGATGCTGGATCCGGGCGGCACTCACCTCGGGCGGCTTCCCGGAAACGCTGACGTGTCCCTGCTGCTCCTAGGCGGAGGCACAGCTAGGCAACTCTGCATGCTGCCTCAGCCCGCAGGCGCCACCCCCGCAGCTCCCATGGTTCCCGGCCAATAGGAGTTGCAGAGCCAGCGCACGGGGCAGGGGCAACGCACAGAGCCGCTTAGCCACACCTCTGCCTAGGAGGCAGCAAGGATATGTCGCTGCTTCGGGGAGCCACGCAGAGCCAGGTAAGGAGCCTGCCGGCCATTGACAGCGCATGAACCATCAGCTGGGGGAGACTAGCCCCTAGCCTGCTCCTTCTGCCCGAGGCCTTGCCACTTCTGCGCCCCCCCACAAGAGCTTAGGGTCCATCCCCCCTGCAGCCGCAGCCCCCGCCCCAGGCTAGCACCTCCAGCCCCGGAGCGCCAGTGCTGCGGCCACAGCCCTGGAGTGCTGGGAAGGCGGGCGCCGTGGCCCCAGCCCACCCGGGAGGACGGGTGTCACCACACAGGGGCACTGGAGCCACAGAGTGGAAAGCAGTGGACTGTGGGTGGGGCATGGGTGGGGCCACGCCTGGCTGTTTGGGGAGGCACAGCCTCCCCCAGCCTATGATACCTGCCACCCATGCTGCCGGTCCCGCACCAACTGAACTATAAACTGGACTTTCAATGAAGATCGTAAATGCCAGTTCATACAGCTTTTCAGTTGGAAAAGTGCCAGATATTTTTAATAATATACAAGAAAAGCTGAGCTAAGAAAACTGAGTAAGAGAGCAAAGTGACTATTTCCTAACTACCAGCGCCCCGATACTCTACAGGGTGACAATACTCCCTCTAGAGCACTGGCTCCCAAGCTTTTTATTAAGGTCACCCACCAATTCCATTTTGTCTATTTTTCTGACCCTCCCAGGGTACAAATGGGGGATCCCCAAAATCACAGACCAGCATCCCCCTCCTCGCGCTGCAAAGGGGACACTGACAGCCTGCAGCAGCTCCCTACAACCTGGCACCACAACCTTAATCCTGGCCAGGGCAGAAGGGAGGCCGGGGTGGAGGGGGCTGGAGAGCAAGCCTGCTCCACACTCACCCCACAGTGGCAGCTCCTGTCACACGAGGCTGGGCCCAGCTCCCCATTCTGGGCATTGCGACCAGGCACGCAGGGTCGCAGCACCACTCAGATTCGACTCAGCCACCCCTCCACCATGACTGGGCCAAATAGCCATGGTGCTGCAACCCCATGAGCCCTTCTGTCATGGTCGGGCCAACCCTGCGTGGCGCTGTGACCCTGTGCGCCAGATTGCAATGCCCAGAGCAGGGCCCAGCCATGTGAGACAGGAGCCACTGCTACGGAGGAGTGCATGGCAAACTCACTCTCCATCCCCCTCCTCCTAGCACCGGACTTGCGACCCATCTAGAACCTGCGCCTGGCCCTATGGTGGGTTGCAACTCACCACTTGGGAAATACTGTTTAAGTAAAATGAAGTTTCATAAGCACATTGGGCTGAACCATTGTCCTGTGTGCACTCAAAAACTTTTTAAAATTGCCATGTATCTGACAGACATTAATACATATTATTTTACGGCATCAGTGAGAGGAAGGGGGAAAAGATGAAGTGTTTTAGTGAGTTACCTAATTACCTAGTCCTCCCCAAATATGCAATTCTCTATGGCTCCCAGGTTCTTAGAACCACCATTTTTGTAGTAATGCTAACCTCAAGAAATCAAAAATCAAGAGATTTTTATAGAAAAAATTATATTGTGTTTTTCTAGTCCATCTTGATTTTTGAACTCCACTTACCCATCCCCAATGCGTGGGGGCGTGACAATTAATGTTGCTCATTCTGCCAAATGTATTTGCCCCTGCTGCAAGAGCTCTCTGCCTCAAACATGCCTTCCCCCACCCCAGCAATTAATCCTGTCTCCCGCCCTACCACAAGTTTGCCCCCCCCCCAGCACCCACCCTATCAGTTCTGCCCTGTTCATTCAGTTCATACACCCACCCCATCAGCCTCTACCCTGCTCAGTTCAGCCCCACAGCCCCCATCAATTCATCTCCCACCCCTCAACGGCTATTCCTCTCCTTGTTTCTATAGGGCAGAATCACATTAACATTAGATCTTTTTCAATTTAACTTCTGTATTATTCTAATTAATTTTGCATGAACAAGCCCTAAGATACCAATAATGATAAGCACTTCCAGCCTTTGGTATCTCAAGCACTTTGTACATAGATACATCACCAGAAGTGCTACCAATTACAGGGGTCCTACCCTATAGCCCAGGGGTGGCCAACCTGAGCCTGAGAAGGGGCCAAAATTTAACAATGTACATTGCCAAAGAGCCACCGTAATATGTCAGCAGCTCCCCACCACGCTCCCAGCGCCTCCCACCCACCGGCAGCCTCACCGATCAGCGCCTCCCCCTCCACACCTCCCGATCAGCTGTTTCGTGGCGTGCAGGAGGCTCTGGGAGGGGAGTGGGGAGAAGCGAGGACACTGAAGGCTCAGGGGATGGGGCGGGAAGGGGTGGAGTGGGGGAAGGGCCTGTGACAGAGCCAAGGGTTGAGCAGTGAGCACCCCTGGCACATTGGAAAGTTGGCCCCGGAGTCAGTGCCTATACAAGGAACCACATATTAACTTCTGAAGAGCTGCATGTGGCTCCGGAGCCACAGGTTGGCCACCCCTGCTATAGCCTTTCCTCATGTAACTGTCATTGGGAATTTTCCCTAGGTCAGGACTGAGCCCATAATTTGTATGCATTCCTACAAACAACAACATGATCAATTTTTGTTTTCAATCCAACTTTGTAAAATTCTCACTCATCAGGGACAGTGTTTTGTTTTCTTTTGGGTTTGCTTTGGTTTTAGTTTTGTAAAACAGGCAAGTTAAATATCATGAATATGTTTACTATCTTCATGGTAAAGGTGAGTGAGCAGGTTTTCTCCTGGATGAGACAATCTGCATGATGCTTTTTCAATGCCAGATTAACAGAATAGAACAAGGCACATTTAGATGCAGTCTTCTCTTTTTTGTCCTTAGATTCACCATATTAAAAGCAATGAAAAAATGTGGTTGATCATTTTATAACATGTACGTTTATTGTACAACAATTCCTCAATGTAGATTAATCAGTTGAAAAATATAAATAGACTCTCAAACAAATATATTTCTTAATTCTTTAAAACTTGTTTGTAGTCACAAGACATCTACATATTAATCTAATGGAATTCTGAGAATTAAGTCCTACTTTCTCTTTGATTAAAGTAAAGGTCATTAAATTGTTAGCAGAAGACCAGTAATGATACCAGCAACAGAACCCAGAATTTGAGATGCCGTACATAGAAATGGAAAACCTTTGTTGGGTTTATATTGCTACCAGTCCTAGATCAGGCACTCTCTTGGCAATTTATGTCTGAAGGACCTCAAGTCTGTTATTGAAACTACAAGGAAATACCTTCTCTAGTTATTACTGCTCACATAGCCCCTATTCTAATTTCTTCAGTACCCTCTGGGAAAGGACTGTACCATGTATAAGCATCATATTATTAGTAGTGCTTAATACATAATTATATTATTATAGAATACACTTGACTACTTTGGGAGGAGGATAATCCTCCCTATCTATCTATAAATAAATAAATGTAAATGCAAATGCAAATGCATTACAAGGTCAGCAAAACTCCCTGAACTAGTTGGCTGATGAGATTATATCTTAATGTACCCAATTTTGAATTATAATTAAAGTTGTGAAGTATATTAACTAGTTCAATGTTCTTAGTAATTGATGAGAACTTATCTTTACTGCCCAGGACTGAACAGCTTTACTGAAGTGTGGCAAAACACTCTGGAGATAGCCTCACTATCTGCCCTGTACTTGATTTAGAACTTTTCAGAACAAAGCAACAGATAGCAAATTAAGTTTCTTTACTACCAACAGTAATACACAACATTCCGTTTAGAGGTATTTAGAATGAAACTTGGCCTGTATGGCAAAGTTCAGATCTGAAGTTTCCCAAGGTTCCAGGAATGTTTGGATCTGGCACTTTGTCTTGGACTCCTCTCTAGTGTGGACGTAGCATGCTACATTCCATACCAGAGATGCAAACAGGCTCAGGAATAGTGTGGGGATGCTAGGACTCTCTAGGACTGTGCAGGAGAAGAGCAATGAAGATCTCAAGCTCTGTGGGAAAGCTGGTAGGCACACAGTTTTCTATCACCCACTAGCAAACAAGACATCAAGTAGAAAAAGTAGGCATGGAATTAATATTAAAAATAGGATACAAGAAGGCCCCAGCATGTAGAGGGGAAAAAAAATCAAATTACTTTAGACGGGGGGGCAAACTATATACAATGCCCAGTTTATGGCACATACTTCATTAATCCAGATGAGGAAGTTCTCTAAAGAGAAGCAAAATGTAATGCCCTGTAAACTCAGATATTTAAGCATTCCTTCAGAGGGAAATGAAGCACTATGTGGCTTCACAAATCTAACCATTCTTACTATCAACTTCTGTCATGGAAGGCCTACCTATTCATAGGAGGACATATTACCTATGACTCAACAATATATAATCACACTGAAATGCAAAAATTAGTTCTCTATAAAGTGATTTTTAATAAAGTTGTCTATCACATCTCTCTCTCTCTCACACACATTCACACACTTTCTCCATATCACTTTACCACAGAGAAAGAAAACAATTCAATACTGTACCTGTGGCATTTCTTTAAGAAAATCAGGAAGCTGAAATTCACCTTTATAGACCTGGAAAAAAAAAAGTAAAACTTTAAACAGATGCTATCATTATATTATGTTCAAACTGCTAACAGGAATTCTGTTCAATAAAAGATAGGTTAGTCTGGGTCATCTGGAACTAGTCATGCTAATCAGACATGCCTGGAGCACGGAGGATTGATTTAAATCAACAATTTTAATCAAGATTTAAATGAGCAAACAGGAAACCTTGATTTAAATAATTTACTGTAATCATGTTTTGCATTTGTACTTTTTAGCTATTTTCCTAAAAAAAAAAGTTGAGTCCCATGGGTTGGTAACCACTAAAACATGTTGATTTGCAACTAAATATAGACTTTACACTAAACTTAGGCTTCTTTTAAGAACTAGTAGATCTCATTCTCACAATTAGTTTTTATTCATAGATTGGAAAAGGAAAACAAGCTTTCCTGCTTTTTCAACTCCCAAATGATTTGTTAACTTTGAATGTAGTAGTCATTGAACCAAACTAGTTGAATAAACTGAAATAAAGAAAATATTCTCTCTGCATCTCCAGAAGAGGCTACTCCTGAATAATTGGCTTAGTACACTTCAGTAAGCTCTGATTCCAGATGCTTAGTCACGAAGTTCAAACATGTACTTGTTAATATTATATTTTATATTTAAATAATTTTAATAGATTATAGTAAATTTAAGCCTTAACAAAGATTGTGTCAAGTTCAAATTTAATTATAAATATGTTTATTTCAAAAAATAAAATGATTTAAACTTTTAAAAATCTGATTTAAATAAAAAAAGATTGTATTTTATCTTTTAAATCATTGATTTTTATCCAGCAGGTTGTGGCACTTATTTTAGAAATTCTAATTTTAATTCATGAATGAGAATGGCCCTATATTGGGACTTACAGGGGTCAGAGCAGGGCTAACTATGTTTGCACAAACCTGTACCTGTGTTGGGTGAATGTCATCTGGCCCTGTTAGCATCTACTAGGATGGAATGGAGGGGGGAGGGATAGCTCAGTAGTTTGAGCATTGGCTTGCTAAACCCAGGGTTGAGTTCAATCCTTGAGAGGGCCATTTAGGGATATGGGGGCAAAAATCTGTTGGATGATTTAATCGGGGATTGGTCCTGCTTTGAACAGGGGGTTGGACTAGATGATCTCCTGAGGTCCCTTCCAACCCTGATATTCTATGATCTCAACCATTTTGATAGCTAAGAAAATTTGGTGCATAAATTTGATGCTTCTAGAAAAGCTAAGCCCCACCGCTCCTCACCATGATGAGTAGTTAACTGACAGATCAGCTATCTCAGAAAGCAATATCTCATTTTTCCTTTCAAGTTTTTTTTCAATATTTTTTTTAAAGAACTTTACAAGGAAACCATTAATGTTAGAACTCCATCCTGCTTCCAAATATGTAGTTTACTTCTGTCTATTTTTAAAAAATTGCCAAGATGTATGTGAAATTCAGATATACTGTTGTAAAACCCCACCCAGTAGCCAGTGTGTGCTTATATATTTTGCATACTGTTTAAGTAGAATACTATTCGGGCAACTCTCCAGTTCCGTGAGGATTGCATGTTTTCTGCCATCTCCTTGGGAGAGGTTAGAGGAGGTGAGGGATGATTTGTATGAGAAAATCCAACAAGTTTGTAATAGATGTCCATAGTTTTAAGATCTTTAACAAATCTCGGGGTAGAGAAAATTATATCTAGATACCTTCTTAAGTCAGGAAGCCTAACTTTGTTCAGGGCAACAGGTTCTGCATAAACTAACTTTTTTTTTATTAATACTTACAAGTACTGTTTAGATCTTGAACTGGTAATGCCTAAAAGGAACTAGAGCTGCAAATGTTGAAATACAGGATACATCCGGTTTTGTTGGCTGTCTCGCTTGTAGAGGGCATGTATTAATATGAAAGAGCCTAATATGTAAAAACCCTCCCAAATTCCTAATCTTTCAAAACTCCTAATCAAATCTCCTCTTGCATTATATTTTGGACAATGTTGCAGTATTGGTGTTTTTTGTGTAACATCACATGGGCATTTTGGTTTAGATTATCTGTTTTGTGGATAAGAATTCACATGATAGGCAACTGACTATTCATGACAGATGGGAGCAAAGAATCTCCTAGGTTCTGAATATTTAAAATGTCTGTCTGAACCAAAAGTCGTTTTTCTTCAGTATCTACATTACAAAAATGAAGCATGTAGCAAATTACAGTATCTGATCTGCTGTGCCCAATTATGCTTATGGAAAAATTGATAATGCTATGTGACTAGAGGCTTTGTTGCATCTTTGACTCTGCCATAATATTAAAATACTATCTGAGAAGGATTTGTCTTTGGTAGTATGTGAACAACTGCACAGCTGTCTTCCAGGTGCCTGTTACTGTATCGCTGTTGCATGAGAATTTTATTTTGTCAAATTTTTAACATTGTACACTGAACTGACCAAATAAAACATTGCAAAATATAACAGGGAGAGAATTATGTCTGCATTAAAATCCTGACCCAACATCATTATTATTCCTGTTTAGATGGGCCCCTTTTCGTTAAACAAATATTGAGTAACATAGAAGTGCTTGGACTATATCGACTTTTTAACCTGCAGGTTGGAATATTTACTAGCTTACACAAACTCGGTACACTGAGTTAATAAGAGTTTGGGCATTTTGGAAATAACTGAGCTGATCATTTTGACTTTCGTGGCTATTAGTCTTTTGCTCTTTTTGCTAATTTTGACTGATGTAACAAATCTCTATATTGTTTTCATGAGCTATGTTTTATTCTACTAAAAAATCACGTTAATATGGAACTCCATAGCCTAATGCTTCTGAGGCAATTCAATTTCTTTCATGGATATGAAATTAGCCAAAATGGTTTCATGTTGTGGATAGGTGAATAAATTGTTCATAGTATTAATGTGACAACATTGTTGATGCATCACTTTCTTAGCTGCTGTCTACAGAGATGAGCTTCATTTTAACGGCTTAACTAAAAGATAAAAATCTGAAGCAGTCTGCTGAACTCAGACGTTTACAATACATCTGGGATCTCATTGACCACACACTGAATTTTTGACCAATGAAGCTCTCATTAACATTATTGTGGGAAGCTATGGCTATTGTGGGAATGGCTTCAAGAATGTGAATGAGAGCTGTGCCTATCATTGTGGATTACCATTGTTCTTCTATCTTTGTCCACTCCTTTTGAGATAACTTTTAAGGTTTTGCAACTTACATAGATGGGTTCCTTGCTCCCTGGTTATATTTGTAGTAAAGTCTGGGTCCTTGCATGTGTTTAACCAGGCTAGTTATAGAAAGGGTAGTGAAAGCTCCCAGCATGCATAGGCTATTCAAAATGAATTGTATTGTTTAATGTTGCAGTCATATTTGGGGTGAATTATTTTGCAGCCAGGAAACTCTGAGCTAACTCAGCTTCAGAGATGAGGCCACTGCAGTGTACTGACGTAGTAATTATTTCAGAGACCGTTCTGCTCCTAATCTGAGCTCAAAATCAGTGTAAGATATTGCAGACTTTATCTAGTTTAGACTCCCATTCAGACCAGATAGAGAAACTGTCAATTCTGTAGATGCAAGATCCTTCTATTCAATATTAGCCATGTCAGGATAACCTACTGCAAATTGTACTGTACTTAATTCCTCTTATTTTTTAACTCTGTAATTAACAATTGGTTTTAATTTTGGAGAGATTTTTGCATGACACCACATGCTGCAAACCAGATGCAGACCTGAGGAAGATGCCATAACTTAGAATGGCTGCCAAGATGCTAAGTTACACCAGGTGCCATTTTGGCTCCCAGAGAAGCCCAGAAAAATCAGGGCTATAAACAATCTTTGCCGCTCACCCTCAGCTGCACCTTGTGTACTGCACCTCCAGACAGTTCTACAAGAGTCTTGGCCAGAATGTGCAACATATAGCATCTTTCTTCTTTATAATTTCTCTGCTTCTTATATGTCAGCATACGGCACCATCAGTAGTTTTTAAGAAAGCCAGACTTATAATTAAACGAGCTGTAGTTGTAGCAAAATAATGTATTTAATAATTTGCATAATTTGTATAAAAACATTATTTCCCCTATTCTTCAGCTATATCTATTCATAAGTTAGGCAGATGGGAAAAAACATGTTAAGCATATGTAAAGCAAGCAAAGGGCTTGACTGAAACACATGAATCAAGGCAAGACTGACATCTTTGTTTTTTGAAATGGAGTGGGGAAGAAAAACCTTTTATACCACTAATTAGGTCAATTAAAAAAAAATCAACAAATTTGTGTGTGTACTTCTTTGGCAGTGAAAAAGAAATCTAACCCATACTATAAACAGCTGGATATACTCTATCAACAGCACACAAAAGCAAAAGGTATTCTGGCACAAGGTAAAAGAGAATTCGGAACAGCTACTCCTGCACAGACATGAACGACTGTTGAGAAGGTCACATGCTTCAACAAACAGTACTCTGATTTATAATACTTATTATTAGGGCTCGGCGTTTGTTACGGAGGTCGCGGAAGTCATGGATTCCATGACTTTCTACGACCTCTGTGACTTCCGCAGAGCCCAGTGTGGCTGACCCCAGGCTGCTCAAGCAGCTCGCTCTGGGCCAGCCACACTGGCTGCTGCTGCTGGAGCAGCTCCAGGGCCAACCGCACCAGCCGCTGCTCGGGTAGCCCTGGGCAGCTGGCCCCAGGGACCGCCTGAGCAGCAGCCAGTGCAACTGGCCCTGGGGACTGCCTGAGCAATTGTCCCGGGGCGGCCGTAACAGCCACTGTCGGCGGCCCCTGGGGCAGCCAGAGCAGCTGTTGTCAGAAGCCCCCGGCACTTTATGCCACAGGCTCCCCCACCCCCAGTACCCCTCCAGCAGCGACCCTCTTGGGACGTCTCCCCAGCAGTGATCCCCCAGCCCAAGATTTAGTCAGAGGTATTTATAGTATAAATCATGGACAGGTCACGGGCCATGAATTTTTATTGCCCATGACCTGTCCATGACTTTTACTAAAAATACCC